TAAAATCTGGCAAAGATTAATTTGAGACTTTCAAGTAATTTAGTTTTGTTCTTTGAGTCTGTGCATTATTAGCGTTTAGTGGGACAATAAACTTAAAGGAATAAGTCAGAGGTTCTGAACAAAGTCGTGCTCTTTGACCAGCCTCTGGGGTTCTGAATGACAAGCTAACAGCTAGTCATGGCAAAGCCAAGAACAAAGTGGATGACTGCCACTTAAAGCTAATTTTATCTCCAAAATTTCATAGCGGTTTATGCAAACGCTCTTCTGTAAACCTTCACATCAACCTTCATTTTATATTTCATATTTACATAACCTTCTGCGATGATTTGCAGAGGGAATTAGCTGCATATTTAGCTGTTATCTTTCCAACTGAAATGTCATGTTTAAGCAGAAATAGCTGCACAACACTGTGGTTACCATTAATTGTAATGACAGAATATTTTTAATGATGGAAGCTACTTACTTTTTAACGTGTCCCCTCTTTGACTAGCAGTAGAATAGAAATAGAAATAAAATGAAACCTTTTTAAAACTATTACTTTAAACCATCCCTAATTATTCCATTAGACGTGACTTTTAGCCAGGTCATGTAGGTCAAATTAAACCTGAACCCCTTAAATTCTTGTCTTAATCGTTTCACACTCTGTGATAACTGAAATGGTGACTCTCCTGAGTTTGTGTTGTAGCATCTAGGCACCAAAGAGAAAGAAAATAGAAGCATAATGGTGGAATGTGTGTGGGAAGACAAAAAGTACTTTGTTATGCAACTGAACAGACTTGAAATGAAAAATTAAGCAATATTTAACCAGATATCAGCTGATAAAATCTTTAAATGTACACAAAAAATGCAATTTTACACCGTTTTAAAAAGTAAAGTTGTTTCAAGTAACTAAATAAGTTTAATAATTTAGATTTAAATCTAATTTAATAGAAAATAAGGCTGTAATGTCGATTTCTAGAAAGAGAAGGTGTGAATAAACTAAAACAAATGTTCCTTATAGGAGAATTTCACTGCCTCTAAAAATCATGCAGTCTTCTCAAAATTTTCACAGGTCTGTGACTTAAATTCATTCTGTGAAATGGTTCTCTCTCTGTCAAATATGAAAATGAACCAGAATGTAGCTGCAGTAAACGTGTCACATTCGACACAAGCTCTGGAGAAGAGTTTGATATACAGTAGAATGAACGATGTCAGCAATAATTCCGTCACCCCGAGTCTTGGCAGGAACATAAACACAACAATGGCAAGGTAATTTAACAGACGTGCCATTAGGAAGTGATTAGGACTATTTGATACTATGAAAATTTAATGTTCTCTTTAAAAAACAAACAAAAAAAGTAACAAGTAAAATCGACTATGGTCAAATGTGGAAAAAGAGATTTGCAAACATAAAATTTCTTTAAGTCCCAATATAAAAAGTTTACCCCTTAAATCAAATATATAAACAACTCAAAGCAAGACGAGCAGCATTCAGAAAGTCAGATGAATTCAATAATGAGTAGAGAAGCTGAACGCTCCTCGTGGGCCGCTTTATTACAACAGACCCGTGTGACTGACCTGGTTCTAGGGCCGGCAGAAACATCACGGTTTCATGGCCAAACATCTGCCCACCTAGGTAAGACTTAGGCCAGAGGCAGGGGCGCCTCCAGAAAATTTTGATAGAGGTGGCCAAAAAGAACTTTTTGGGGTCACACACCAAACTGGTCCTTGTGGTAACTCTGGTAACTCTGGGAGAATTTAGCCTGTGGCGATGTGCTGCATTGCACCTTTATTCATTTTTCTTAAAATAGCAGTACGTATCCAAAACATTTAACTTAAATTTTACAAACGCAAACATTTCAGAAAAATACATTTCAGTTATTTAAAATGTTACCCCAAATTTTATTTAAAAATGTATTTTTTTAGGTTTATTCACCTGAGTTGCCGTGTTCACAAAAAATAAAAAATAAAAATAATAATGGCGATAAAAACTTTAAATGGTGAGCAGCAGAAACATATGTATATATTTTTTGATTGTTTCTTTACTGATTAATTGTAATATTTTGATTTTGTTTTACAATTATGTCTCGAATAACCAAGATTAATATATGGTTTGACTGAACATTAATATGATTTGTTAACACTGGCTTTTCCTGGTGGGGGGGGGGGGGGGGGCAGCAATTTTCTGGCCACCCCTTGGGGGCACCCTTGGCCACCCCTTGGGGGCGCCCTTGGCCAGAGGGCTTCTTACATAGAGTCTCTTCAGTTTGAAATGGGACTCTATATGAAGGGTCTTGCTCAGATTCAGAGCCATGGGTGCCATGTTCAAACATTTTCTGGCTGTTGTGAATAAACGGAGCCTGGTTAGTTCACCACATGCTTCCATGAAAAAGAATAGACCACCATCCCAAAAGGGTAGCTGAACTGACCAGTTACCTAGAAGCATAGGTGTTGTAGCTACTGAACATTACCAAGGATTAGTCTTTTCTTTCATAATTAACTCTGAAACCTGCTGATCAGGAGAGTCACACACTTTTTACCTTGGATAGAAGGAACTTGAAATATTCACCGTGATAAGCTGATATCTTACTGTGTAGGACCTGTGTTAGGAGGAGGTCCCATCAGACCACTTAGCTGGCTGGATCTAGATGAAAAGCCCATGGCTGCATCTACAAATCTGGTTTATACTTAGATCTGGACGCAGGACTTGCCTTGGGACCGTTACAAACATCTGCAAGTACAATAGTGAGAAAAATCAATCATGGAGAAATAATGGTGGCCGGGGAGTCCAGTTTCTTCTTTCCTTCTGCCTTTCTTTGTGGGGAAGCTGTAACCCACACCAGTGAGTACAAGGAGCCACACCCTGTTGAAAAACAGAAAATCATAACAGCACTGGCTCAACAGAAACTAACCAATGCATCTACCCACTCCTTACCCTGAAGCGATCAAGCCAGTCCTCCTTTTGGTTGATCTGCTGCACTCATCATACCTCAGGCCAAGTGAAAGGATTATAGACACTCAAGTCAGCAGCACTGACCGATCAGAACATAACAGCAGCCTACTGGACGTTAGCCTTTATTATGGAGGATCCAGTTTTGGTCCATGCTTTATCTTGTTCAATGAAAGATGGATCTCACACTAATGACAAGTTTGGTCACAAAAAAACAAGATCCTTTGTTGTGGATCAGTTGTAAGAAAACCTTTAAATGAGCTTAATTCTGCGGCACGCTCACTGAAAGCTAGTTTAGCTCTCTAAAGATAAAAAACCCATATCATAAAAGTTCTCGGATGAAGTGCTACAGCCAACAATCACCCTCAGCTACGAGCTTTACAATCAGCATCATTTGACACTTAAAACATGTGAACTGAGTAGTAGCTCATTTTGTTCTTGGATTTTGCAAATCTGAAATGTTTTTTGGAGGCTGCATGGTTTAGCACGGTTGTGATCAGGGCGCATAGATGTTTGAATGCCGGCTGAGGTTTTTCTGCATAGCTTGCGTGTTCTCATTCATGTGAAGGTTTTCTTGGGTTTGCTCCTGCAGACCAAAAACATGGAATACTCAAATTTCTCCTAGGTGTAAGTGTGTGACCCTGTGATGTGATGGAGACCTGTCCAATGGGCCTTTTGTCCCATGGCTGCTGGGACAGGCACCAGGTCCCCACAACAAGTAACGAAAACACTGGGAGCCTCAACGTTTTTCCCATCAGAACATCTGAGTATAAGACTGGACACAGGTGCCCTGCGTAGCTGGCTGTCAGCGCGCACGTGAGGTGGACAGCTGAAGATGTGGAGGGGCTTGGAGCACGTCGATCACAGGCAGCAGAACCAGAGCACATGGGGGAAAATTCCTCTCACTTAAGCGAGTGGTTTCCAAACCCTCTCTCAGAGAGACTTGTCACTTAGGAAATGTTCCCCGATTACGAAACGTTGGCTGAATAACTTTTTATGTCTCCAATGTGGCGACACATCCTTGAGCCTGTCTGAGGCAAAAGTCCAGAATCTCATGTCCTCTTCAGTTCAGAAAACGCCTATAGAGACATTTGATTACGCACAAGCAGGTGACCTGTCAACCTGGTCTCACGTGAGACCGGGTTGGACCTGTTCAGGTTTACGTGGAGCAGAAGGACGGAGTGTTTGGTCCATGGGTGAAATGTTCCTAAGTGAAATTATTTAATTATAACACTCTGGACACACTGGTCAGGTTGTTTAGATCAGTACTCAAAGTACAAAACACACACACACACACACCAGGGTGTTGTAAAATATAATCTCCATCCACATCCAGAAAATTATCCCTCTATTTCATTATTAGCAGCAGCTGAGATGTTTGAGCTGAAGATTTTTGGGTTTTGTGACACTCCTAGTTCGCTTTCTTGTGCCAGCTTCTTATCTATATTTCCATTTGAATGCCATCTTTTGCACATTTGGAGGGGTGCACTGGATGCTTATTTACTTGAAGTTTTTCTAATAAATTGAGATTCTTTACATTTAGAATTGGCATACAGATAACATTGCAGTAAAAATACATTTTAATTAAATACTAGTGTATAAGGACAGATCTGCATCAGAAGGATCAAAGAGCCATGGGCTGCCTCTTCACATTTTACTACCAGAACCCCAAGGTTGAAAGCTCTGTTCAAACTAAGACTTAAAAAATAAATATAATGGTGAAAGAATCTTGACAATTACAAATGCTGCAGGAACATTCAGTTTTTCCAATCTGCAGAATGCATCATGAGTTAAGTTTACTGGAATTTTGTTTCCCCAAGTTTAGCCCATTTGACAGAATTCCTTAACAGAAATTAAACCACTCAGCTTCACCTTGTACTTGGACATAGCTTAACTTTATCACAAAGGAAAAATATTTTACACATCTTGGTTAGGTTAACTTTCTGGTTCTAAGGTGCATATTTGTAGCACAAAATTAACCTAGTTCAAGTGTTGCATATGCCACAAATTAATCCAAGCATGCTTCCATCATGATCAGTAATAACCATCTCACCACTACACACAAGACAGATGAATTTTAACAAGTTTATTCAAGTGAAGACAGTCTGGAGCAGTCAGCCAAAGCACCCCACTTTCCTCCAATTGAGAAATTCAGGTTGCACTCATTTCCTCCATTGTGCAGCTTGAATATGATGACTACAAATGTTTTAACTTGACCGATTTAATAGACACAACTGTAAGGTTGGTTTAATCCAGATCCCTTATCACCAATGCCATCATTTTAATCTCAAACCCTCTGAGGTGCAGGTGGTCTGGGCTGCTTGGTGCCCCAGGGGCCCAACTCCTCCCTGGGACCAACAGGAGCACCCAAGTCACCAATGCTGTCATGCCTCTGGTTCTTCCCATGCTTATACGTGTTGGTGGAGAAGGTATATGTGCCCGGAGGACGTTTCCTGTTCAGCAACATGTAATCAATATACGGATAGCCAAACTGTAACTGATCCAGAAGGGCTCCTAATGCCAGTGGGCTTCTGATGGGAAGTCTGCTCAGAGCTGGATGAGGAAAGTACTGGAGAGGAGGAGCAGGAGGCCCTTGTTCTTCAGATTCAGAGTTGTAGTTTCCTTGTTCGAACGATTTCTCCTCATAGGATAGCTCACCTGGTTGGGGATGAGGAAAAAACGGGCCTGGTGGATATGGATAACCAGGTGGTACAAATTCAGAGGCAATACCCAGCTCATCTGGAGATGAAGCCCCATAATGAAGAGTACTTGGTGGAATTGCCCAGTTCCCTAAAAATAAAATATACATATATATACATATATATTTAAACAAACAGCTTAAAGGCACAATAGGTTAACAATAAACCAATTTCAGAAAAGGTCACCTACCTTGGTTTGGGGGAACCTGAGGTCCTGACTGGGGTGGAGAACTGCCACCATACTCTGAGTAAATATGTGCAGGATACGTATCAGAAGCATGAAGAGCAGGTACTGGTCTCATCTCAGCAGCAGGTTGGCTGAATTGAGGTTGATAGAAATCTAGATGTGAAGATGGTGAAAAACCAGATTTTGCTTGAGCAAATCCACTTGGAGGTTCTCCCCATCCAGGACCAGGGGGAGCACCATGGCCCCTGAGAGGGTCCAAAACTATGCAGTGAGAAGTGATTAGAAGAGGGGTGAGATGAAACGTTGTGTAAAAATACACAGGTGGGTCAAAAAGTATACATTTACCATTCTTTGTTGGATAGCCCGTGACTGCCCCAGCCAGCATGACAACAAGCCACATCCTATTGAGAGAGAACCAAACATCTAAATTACATCTGTTTCTAATCAACACACTTAACCCAGATGAGCTCTTCTTACCATGAAGAAGCTAAGTCAGCCATCATGTTGGATGGACCACAACGCCTGGTTTCAAGAGGGTGCTTAAATGCTTTTAGGGACCAATCCCAACACCACAGGTTAACAATACACACCTGTGTGAAATTAACCCTGACGAGGGAGTAGCTGTGATATGGACCAGCATGTCATCAACATGTAGGTTTGGTTAGTCGGAGTGAAGTTAAATAAATGACATGGGCCAGGCAGGAAGTGAGATGTGTGCCAGCAAGGTGCACCCAGTACATTTCAAAATAAAACATGTGTTGCATTTTTTCCCCATCTTTTTTTTTTTTTATCATTAATGACATCAATATCAGTTCACAGTGTATGATGGTTCATGTATTTTACAAGTATATCTTAACATTATTTAAAAATTCTAATCATTTGCTGCTCTCACAGGAACCGATTTCCGGAGACGTTCCACACACGAACCGCAGCCGGAGTGACAGGCAGTCCTCCTGTTAGCCGTGTGGATTCCGGACTGCGTGTCTTCTGTTCTCGATGAAAATGAGGCATTATGCGGCTTCATCTGAGGTATTTCTCTTTTTTAAATCAGTATTTCATGTATTTCCATTTAGTGGATGAGCTTTAAACTGACACTGATGAAAAAAGTGCAAAGATCAGAAAAGAGCCATTTATGACTGGTGGAGCACTAATATACTGACTGACCCTTTTTCAGGGAATCGAGCAAATAATTTGAGTAAATGGTAAATGAGGGGGTGAAGAAATGAACACAACTCGTACGAAACTACACTGGTTCCTTCTTTGATTACAGTAGCTGAAGATGATTTAATGATTCAAGCATGAATCCAGAGAGAAGGAATCTGAACATTTTGTTAGTGTGTGATCTTCACATCTGCAGAAACAAAACCTCCTGACTGCACCTCATATAAAAAAGAGATGTGCATGCACGAGACCTTAGCTAAATAATGTCATGACAGAAAATTAAAGATCTACAGAAGGAATTTAACAATGGCAATAAGATTCTCTTGTAACAAATGAATACATTTAAACTGCTGTGCCCATTCCAAAATCTACCTACATTTATGCTACACAAAATAAAAAAAGTTATTTCAAGGAAGATTTTGATGCTCCTGTTGTTCTCAGTGCTCAACAAAAGTTAAACCTGCATCTTTGGTCAGTCTTAAAGGTCAAATTTACTCATTGTTTTAATGCATCTGCAGGGGTCTTTAGTAGGAATGAATGTCTTGTAAGTCGTTCTCTGGGGAATAAGAGCTCTGGTGCTCCTTTTTAAGGATGTAGAATTCAGCTGGAGGAGGAAGTAGCTTCAGACGACAGGATCTGGAGTCTTATATCTCGTGTCTGATTGGCTAACAGCAATGTAACTCTACCAGTGACTCGTTCGCTCAGCAACGTTGATGTTTTAGCTCCACAAATAACACAAGCATGGAGAAGTTCTGCTGTGTAGTGGAGTTGCTAATGCTAACAGTTAGCTTCTACTAGCTGAGACGTTCTTTGCTGTTTCCTAGAGGCTAAACCAACAACAGCCTTCGTCAAAATGGGTGAGTCCATGAATGTTAAGTGACAGTGTGACGTAGACCTGTCAGGCTTTTCTGAACCGAACGATTTTACGTCTATTTTGTAACTGAGACCAGTGCAGGGCATAGGTTACTATTTCCACATTCAGCCTGCATGTTAAAATCAGAGTGATTGATCATTTAAATAAATAAATAGATAAATGGTTTCTCTGTGAAACTGAACTCTAAAATGGCTCCAATCCTCCTCCTTGTTTAGTTTAAAATAGTATAATTTCAGTTTAAAGAGCAAGTCACCCCTAAATCACATTTTTTTTGCTGATAAACTATATAAAGGAGTGTTTAATCATGCTACAGACACGTGTAGTCAATAATTTGGCACTTCAGTGCATCTTGGTTAAAATTCAAATATTCTGTCTAAAACTGTCAGTGTTGCGCCGTCGTCAGGGAAAAGTTGTGCACTGTATTTGAATTTAAATCTGCCACCGCTATTGGCTAAGAGGTATGCTATGATGTCATCTGATACATTATGATGTCATAATGCCATTGTGAGCCTGTGTGTGTGTGTATTTGTTAGTGGCTCCGCCCTCTCGGTCTGCCAAGCAACAGCATTTGTTGCATTTTTCAAACATGAAGTGGGAGTGGAGTAAGTTTCTTGTAGGGGGTGACTTGCTCTTTAAAATAGTATAATTAGGAATAATTTAAAATCTGTCTATAAAAGCAGCCTTGACTGAAGACGAGAAGTTTCTCCCTTTGTCTTCAAAATAAATATAAGTGGAGGATGCATTAAGTAACATTGTACTGATGGGTGAAAAATTGTCCCACAGCATGAATGATATTTGATATTACTTTGGACGATACCTGTAGATTGTCATTGTTAAATGAACGAAAGAAAATTGCAAAAATACAATTAACAACTGGATGCAAACCAAAAGGATTAAAATCCAGCATAAAAAACATTTTTTGTTGCTGAAACTTGCAACTTGTGTCCGCTGCTCCCTCGAGCTAATTCTATCCATTTAATCTCCGATCAGTCACTTAATGACATTGTAGTTTGGTTTTAAACCACTTCTTTCTGGCTTTCAAGACCTACTTTTTAATGCTAAAAAGGAAGATTTAACATTTTCACGAGAAAATGAGATATATATTTTGGGAAATTCAATTCCATTTATTAAACCAAAAACAAAAGGTGAAAATATGTGGGAACCAGAACATTGTAGAGCTTGACTTCTACATGAAATAAGAGACCAATCATCTGGCCTACCACGAAAACTCAGGATCAGCGAGGCATTATCCCAACTAATCGTGCATCCAGTTTGTAGACTGAAAAATAATTTTAAGGAGAGAACTTCAACACAAAGAACATATCCTGGAGACGAACTGCGTAACATACGAGAAACCTCAATGTGTCTGATTGAGCACATCCTTTCGTTAAGATCTCAGTCCTCCATAAACCAGCTTGAGACGGTGCCAAATGTGCCGTGGTTCTGCATTGTGACAATTTCCGGCTCTTCAGATGTGTATTTCCTGGCTTTCTAATCAGAATGCTATTTTGTATCTCAAAAGGGGCTCTTATTCAGCCCAGCATTAACAGCCCTCGTCTGTGATAATGTGGATGCTTTGGGCCATAGGCCACCAGCTGCATCCACTTGTCAAGTCTTTGCTACAGATGCCCTGTCTGTCTGCCGCCTGAATGAAACTCATGGACTAAATCGGCACTTATTGTGCAGAGTGATTTCACGTACACATTTTAATGTGCCTCCTCCAATCCCTTAACCTGTTTAAATCTCATCTGCTGACAGATATCAGGACTTTTGAAAACGATTTCACTGGCGAACTGATGTCTCTTTTGTGTTTGCTGTCCCTGAGTGGACGGCGGAGACCAAACGGCAAGGCTGAAAACTCAAAACACTCTCAAGCAGTTAATCCAAATCTGCAGGATTTTCTATGCATCATATTAGTTTGTCACAGAAATCAAATGACTAGAACTCAATTATGACGGATCAATAATTCAGCATTCTCAATTATGCTTTAACTGTAAGAAGCAATATCATCCAATCTTATTGTGCGGGTAGGTGTTGTTGTTGTTGTTGTTGTTTTGCAAAGCTTTAGCTGATTGTTTATATGAGATTAGAGCTGCGTATCAGGGAAAAAGATCAAGCAATGTCACAGTGCCTTGAATAGCCGGCGAGTGACACATGCACAGACACACACTCGGGCAAGGTTTCAAGTACACTAGCCCCAATACACACACACGCATACTCTTGATGACACAAACACATAACATAAAGCCAAATGCTGCCACTAAAATTTGCATGGTGCTCAGTAATGCATTAGTGAACATCACTTGGCAATCTGTTCATACGGGCTTAATTGGATTTTAATACCGCCTCTGATCTTGTTTTCTAATTAACGGCGGTGGCTGGCAACCAAGCAGAACCATGCACCCAGCAACACCTTTGATCCCGGCCATATGGAGTTCCTCCAAGCACGCCGGGGATGTAAAAATCCCTCACCTAGACGTGGGCGAACAACAGGCCCCCCGAATCAAAATGGATGGGGGTGAGGAGAATGGAGGAGGGGTGTGTGTATGTGTGTGTGTGTGTGTGTGTGTGTGTGTGTGTGGTAAGGTAGTGGCACGTGTCATCCACACATCGTAGCAGGACTAGTATTGATTAATTTCTCTCACGATCAGTTGTGATCACAGATACATAAAACATGAGATGAGGGACTGAATGCCTGTACACCTTATCATCCGTGCTGCCATTCGACACCCCTTCATTGCTACGGGGAAATGTCAATAGCTTTTCTAATCTGTTTACTTCTCCCCTTGTGGCCACTGCTTTATGCTTTTGATGAAGGTCTGCCAAAAAAAACATGTCCTATATTTTACCCTTGTTTTTTCTGTTTTGGCAGAGAAAGTCTTGGTATTAACTTTAGATTTGCATATTCAGCCTGCGTCTCATGCTCCTATTTTCATATCTAAAAATGTAATAACCACAACACCGAGTGCAATGTTCAAAACTTTGATTAGAGTACAGACACAGGTATGGAGAAAGGACTCATCACTAAATGCTTGAGGAGTTTATCAAAACTTGACAGATGATCAAGACGTTGGCTAAAGCTGAGAAAATACATCAGAAAATTAACAGAAAATATGAAAACTTTCTAAACGTAAAACAAAAATGGGTCATGCTAAAAGCAAAAACTTTTTTTATTTGTATTTATTCCCTAAATTTCAGACAATAATGTTTTAGGCTATGTGTGTCTGTTTAGTGTTTAAACATGAAACTTGTGCATCAATCAACAGAAAAAAGCACCACAACTCTCTTGATTTTGCAGATGATGACCTGAAATTTTGTGTGGCAACCCTTAAAACTGCAACAGCAGAGCTGCCACTACATGGTCACTCATGGTACTTTCACCCCTCCCATCGGTTAGCATCCCCGGGCCACGTACGCTAGATACCAGAAACGTGTATTGCCAGAACAAACAAGAGACCACAAAACATTTTCCAAGTCGAAACTTCTTTTGTTTTCCGCAACTTCAAATTGTGTTTT